GAAGAACACCAATCAACACCATGAGCTTTTACAAGAGATAATTCCCCACCCTCCTCAAAAATGTGAAAAATTGTACCGTTCTTAGGATAATAATAAAAATGGCATCAAATTAATTTACACCGTACTTAAAAAAAGGAAATTGCGAATGTTTCTAATTTTACGCATCGCAAAATTATAAATATATCGCTCATAACATCAAAGCTTCAATTTTTATCTAATGCCTTGGAGAGTTTCTTAAAAATTGCAATCAGCACAATTGAAATAAATTTTCTTGATGGGAAAGAAATATTAGTTTTCCAAAGATAAATGGATTGAAAGTCCACAAAATTTACTGTGTGAATTACCTCATCTAACGCGAGTCACATCATATGATTTGAAAAAATAAATTTTCCCAGGAAAATTAACCAATTCCGTCAGTTTCGAGAAACCCCAAAAATTGTTCAAATTTCATCAGCAGAAGAAAATGAAAAAAACCGTGTTCCCCATGAATCCTTCAAAATCCATGAACCACAGAATTTTAAAAACTCTCCACGAGGATTACAAGAAAAATAAAACGGGAAAAACAAGTTTGAAGATACTTCGAAGAGGAATTCTGTTCGCTGATTTACCGAGAAAGAGGAATGACGCTGCAAAGCAGCGATGATTTCGCACACAATCGGGCCCCTGGGCGGCGCCGACCGCCGGCGCCACGAAACACTCTGACTGCGACGCGGCGCCTGTCGCAGCGTGCCACCGCCAGATGTCACCCCACCGCGACGCACGTCTTCCAGACTACACGCAAACTTCCGTCCTTCGTCCTCGTCTTCAGATGTCGTCGGCGTCGCCGTCGACGTCCCAGAGTCCACCCCGTGACGCTTCGGGTCATAGTAAGTTCAAGTGAGCCAGAGTGAAAAACGTCCGATTCGATGCCTCATCAAACATTTTTAGTCCCGTTAAAAAATTGACTGTGATTCCTAATTGATTCAGAAGTTGTTGACAAACTTCCAACAAAAGCTCGGTTGACAGAATAAACTATTTTTTCATCCAGTGAATCACATAACAGATGAAGAATTGCATGAATAATGATAATCAATTCTTCATATTTTTATCATTATAGAGACCTCTATTTTTATCTGCAGCCTTTTTTTCAAGTTTTTACCAAGGGTTATTCGAAGAAACAAGAAACTGGTGTTTCCCGGAATATCCCTAATATCATTCTCAACGAGAACTTGCGGAAATTTCCCAACAGAAATGAAGATTAAAATTCTTTGACAAACCATCGAACGACATCTAGCTACAAATTCATAATTATTTTCTGAGGCAAATTTCCGAGGAATGACGATTTTGTGTTTCGATAATTGAACCTCATCGAAACGTTCGTTCTTCCGGCTCACTTGAAAACGATGACACGGTCCTCACCTGTTGTGGACGTCCATCCATGTCCTTGGCAAGCTTGGGACACGGAGAATTATCCGAAGACACCGGAGTGACGGACCGACGCCTGGGCGTAACCGATGGAGGCGACGCTCCATTCCGTTTCGCAGGCTTCGGCGTAGATGTCACTTCTAACCTCTCGGGTCTCGAAGGCGAATTAGGTGTGGATTCCATTCCACACTTGGCACTTCTCGTCGTCGTCAACGAGTCCATATTTTCGCTTCCATTCACTGAAGCGTCTAAACGTTCACATTTCTTCTCCGACGATGCGTCAAAGCTAGATGACGCGACGATTGTCTTTGGCGATGAATTTGAAATAGATGTCACTTCCATGCTGTCGCAGTGATTCCCGTTTCTTAGCGTCGCACAAGTGCGTTCTTCGAGTTCGGCGATCGAGGGTTTCCCGGGCGTTCTACACTGTTGGCGTGCCAGTGAACAAAACGTAAACGAATACAAAAACCAAAGCGAAACTAAAACATATACCTAATGTAATTTGCCTTTGCACGAGACAAGACACACTTCAAAGCATCTACTAACGAACCAGACGATGCGACAGTGTTTCGATGTGCTTCTGATCTTGTATCTGTCATTTTTCTTCCACCACGCAGTTTATGCAAGGACACAATCAAGAAATTTTTGTCTGTGAGGTTTCTAGTAATTAAAATCTTTCGTTCAGCAAAATTTAAGAAGAATTGAAACTCACTAATTTTATATTTCTTGGAGTCTTTCCAATTCAACACCCAGAAATCTAGGAGAGTTTTATTCTTCATCACGCAGCTGTCACCTGAATTATACACTTTTTTCGGATAGTTCGGATAAGATCACTTAAATTCGCATCAGGAAAGATTAAATTCACTCAGAGTAATTAATTTATATCGTTCTTAGCATTGATTCAGATGATATTCGTTAAACATTTTATAAAACAATTAAGTTTGGGATAAGAAGTGGAAAGGACCTTTTTCCATTGAAATTTTCAAGAGAAAATATAATTGACGCCCACAACAACTAAGAAATCCTCTTGTTTGCAAAATTCTACAGAACACAGCAATCTTCAACAAATAAAATGCATTAATCAGGCGATATTACGGGATTTTTTTCTTCAAATTACAAAAAATACTTCTAAGAAAGCCACGACGTCAAGTTTGGAAAAATTTCAAAAACATTTTTAATTTCAGAAAAATCCGTTTTTGATTCTGAATAAAATAAGGACAACTGTTGTGAGATTGTCTCTTTCTGTATGCAGTTTCCAGCAACCCAAAAATACTGATCTACAAGCGTGTGTCTTTCCAAAAACTCACAATGACCAACGGTCTCAAAATGTCGCCGGCAAGCAAAATCCTCCCTCCATCCAACAAACGTGCGAATTCTCGAGATAAAAAAAAAAGCAAATTCTATTTGATCCAGAATATCTCCGCCAAAAAATATCCCGTATTCTACGTTCAAAGCCTCCGTTAGCAGTGTACACAACAAATTCTGCTCAAGTTTCTCAGGCGACAAGTGGAAAAGGAATAAGTTTACGAACATCGTTTACGGACGCCTCTCGCAGAACAATCTTCGGAATCCTGCTCTCATCGGTATCTGATTCGTCTGAATTCTATTTCGAAATGAAAACACGAGACGTGAAAACATTCCGGGTTCATTCCAACCATTAAAAAAAAAACTCTCGCATGCTCACTCTACCAACCTTTCAAAACTCTCGTTTATTAAAAAAAAAATACAGAGACAATCGCAACTTTACTCGAAAGAAAATTTTCAATGAATGAAAAAAATGAAAGTACTCACGTCCAATGACCTGTAGTCAGGATGAGTTTCTTGGGAAATGAAAAGGAATTTCCGTTCATTGTTGAGATCGGAAGTGATTAGCTTCTTCTCACTGGGCTTGTAAACGACCGGCTTGTTTGTCGGCATCTTCCATCCTAAAACAAAAATATTAACATAACCTTTCAAGAAAAAAAAAATTCTCGGGCGATATAAAACACGAAAGCATCATGGCACTGCAGCAATTCACACGACAAAACAACAATATTAACAATAACCAAAATTACAATATTTAACAGTAACAAAAAAACACTTAAATTATAATCAAATATTAAAGAATATTTTCTGAGGTTCATAGGAAAATGTCAACANTGGGCATCACTCCGAGGCCCCGTTGCGGATAACCAGATAAGTACTGGTTCAAGTAAAACCAGTACGGGTCCATTTCGACGATTTCGTAGTATCGAATGTTTCCATCACCCTGAGGGAGAAAACATTAATCCTCACTCATAATCAAAAACATGGGTTACATCACTATGAGCCTCAAAAATATTATACCGTATTACTGCTGTATATTTTTATCGGCCCAAATCTAGGAGCGAAAAGCTATTCAAACGACATCTATTTCAGGTTCCATACAGCGAAGTTGATGAATGAGGAGCGTCAAGTAAGAGGTCGTGCGTAATCTGAGCGAGACGACTTTTCTCATCCAAGCTGTGATTTCAATGATTTTTGAGAAAAAAAGGTTAAAATTCATTATTCATCCATCTATACTTACTGTGATTATTTTCTTTAGATACCTAGACAGTGAATCATTTTCGATAGGCCGGAAGGAGTCAAATGAATGACTGTTGCTGAGAAGCAGCAAATAAAGATTTTAAATCAAATAAACCAGTCATTCAAGCAATCATAATGTACTGGTCGAAAGTCTTCTTCAGTGGAACAACACTCGAATTTTTACTTCCAGTAAAAAAAAAAAAAAAAATTATGTCAACTGGTGAGATTTTTAAATCTTACTTTTCCAGCGAGATACAAGATTCGAGTGTCGGCGTCGTAGAACGGAAATATGACACCAGAGGATGAGTCGATGTCTTCGATTCGAAGCGGATTTGACAAGTCGTTCTCTTGCCAAATGGCCAATTGGCGATCCGAATAGCGAGAGAATCCCGTGGTTGCCAATCGTCCCGACTGTCCGAGATAAACCACTTTGCTCGCTTTCGATCCATCGTGACACTTCCCTTCCTGTAAACAAGAAGCAAAAAATTTAAAATTTGATTAAAAGTTGAAATTTAATAATTCGGCCGATTAAGAACTTTTCCAGTCTTTTCAAGAACGACGAAAAATCCACTTTGGAAAGCTTCAAAATCAAATCATAACAATTAACTATTTTTTCATTTTTTGAATTAAAAAAAGGCTTTTGAATTTCAATTGATTAAATTCTTCTCTAATTTTTTCCATCGTAAAAATCCAGAATGCGTATTTTTATTTTGCTGCGTGAATAATTATTGGTTCATGAGAAATTTACTTTTTCTCTAGCAGATGATGACGATACAGTAATAAGTCTGTCAATAACGAAAGTTTGCGAATTTTTCTAGAGATTATTCTTTCTCACTGAGCATCTGGAAGATGGTCAAGAGACGACTTCCTGTTGTATTAATTTTAAAAAACTCTAAATTTCCTTCGTAAATCGACAGGGAAGCAGTTTTTTTTCTTAAATAAAATTTAATCCCAAAATGATCAGCATAACTTTCCTCGCAATCGCAGCTCTTATGCATGCAAAGAATGTCCAAAGAATAAATGATCAAACCCAACCCCTTTGGCCTCCATCACAAGACGTGAGCAGAATAAAGTAACAAACTCAGATTTTCCCCCCACTTTCTTTTTTTTCTCTCTCATTTATAGCAAGAAAAGCGGGACAAACGCTTTTTTTTCCCCTCAACAAGATTGACATGGCAATCGCTCTTCCTGCCGCCTGGGAAATCAATCCTTCACCTTCCATCTCCACTGACACTCATCACCCTTTCTCTTACTCACTTGGAAATTTAAAAAAGAAATATAATAATAATCCATCAACAATCAGAGGAATAAAAACAGCAGATAAAAACTGTATACTGTATACTGTTTGAAGACGACGAAAATTTCAGTTATGAAGTTTTCCGTATTTCTGGCAACAGATTTGAATGAAGTGAATTTTACGAAAATTATGCTGTAACAAATTCCGCTCAAGTAACTGGATCTTCGAGAGCTTTCGAATTTTTTTGCGAGTATTTTTTCTTGAATTTTCCCGCGAAAGACAACGAAATTTAAATTCCCCTCAAGGATAAATTTGCTTTTTTTATATTACAAGGATTCACAGAGTGTGATGACTTTTACGACGATCAACGATGAAATAGCTCATGCAGTGAGACAAATCGAGGANATTTGCTTTTTTTATATTACAAGGATTCACAGAGTGTGATGACTTTTACGACGATCAACGATGAAATAGCTCATGCAGTGAGACAAATCGAGGATGAAAAATTTAATTCAGCGAAATAAATGTCAATCATTTAAATTGCAGTATTATTTCGAGGACTGCTACCTCTGAAAAATAATCGTTGTTCCAGAAACACTCGGCTTTTTTTTTAAAGAATCATGACAGCTAAATCTTGATGAAGATCTATAATCGTACGCGATTTTCAAAATGCCAAATTTTTTTCTGAGGACTCGTGACATTTGTTGTAAAATTATAAAATTTTATTGAACAGCGGCATCGTTGAAAAAAAAACGAAAAAAATACTGCAATTTTTCCCTTTCTTTTAAACAAAGAAGTGCACATTCATTGTCGGAGATAGGAGGATAATATTTTCAATAAGACGGAAAATTCAAGAATATCGCAAGTAGCCCCCCCCCCCCCCGAACCTTTCCAGTAAAAAAAATAATTGGAAATGGCAAAACCAATTTTCCAGAGGCAACGCATCCTTGGAATTCCGACATTAATTTCACGAAGAAACCTGTGCTTTTTCATCTGTCATCCAACGCACGAAGCGAAAGCAGATGTGCTGTAATACCGTACAGTACGGTACAGCAGTACAGTATCTCATCCACGCATCGTCCTTTTGCAATAATGCGCACAAAGACAGCGC